GGAACATTCCAGGCCAGGTTGGACAGGGCTGTGAGCAACCTGATGTGGTTCAAGGTGTCCCTGCTCCTGCAGGGGGGTTGGGCTGGGTGACCTCTGGGGGTCCCTTCCCACCCAAACCATTCTGTGATTCTATGATTCTAAGAGCAGCCCCACGAGCACACGCAGACGCTGTGAACAGCCACTCTCCCCCAAGCAGACGGTGACAAAGCGGTGAGCTGCACATTTGTCCGGCCCAGCTGTGAACGCCAGTGCTGCTTGCAGCAGAGTTGCTGCAACGTGAGAGCCCACTGCAGATTGGGAAAGCTCTCTGAGAAGATGGGCAAGTGCCCAGGCCTCTGTTAAGCCTCCGCTGGGCTCTGGGCTGGGCTGTTCCTGTAGCCCAAACCAGCTGGTTTCAACACTGCTCAGCACTGGGAGCAGGGACTGAGCACAGACGTACCCCGAGGCTGGGGACGCAGAGGGAGCACAAAGACCTGGCCAGTGGCCAGTGGCCAGCAGCAAGGCTGAGTGTTCCCAGAATCCGACCATGTCCTCCTTGCTCCTGCCTGGCAAGGAGGGCGGCGGGGCAGGGGGGGAGAGGGCTCCCCAGGGACAGGCTGGCATGTCACAAGGAGCGCAGTATGAATGGAAACCATTTTCAGCTCTAATGGTAGCTGTGCCCAGCTATCCCCTGTCCCCATCCAAGCTGGAAACGGGACAACGTTGCAGCTGGGTTTAATATATTCCGTTTGGGTTACCGCCTTTTAGGGAAGGGCAGCGTTCGATCAGCAAGCTTGAAATGCAATAACAATAAACTACCGAGGTACCAATAAACAGATCCACCCCACAACTTACGCTCACGGAGGGGTGGGTCGGTGGAACCGGTGCTGCAGACGCTGTGAATCAGGAGAGAGAAGTTGTGATTAAGAGCCTGCCTACGCCCCAGGCAGGACCAGAGCATCAGTCCTTGAAGGACTGTGTGGATGCCTGGGCCTGATCCCCGCCCTTACAAAGGCCAGTTTCCACAGCTTCAGCCAAAAAAAGGTGTGGAAATGTGTCTGGATGTGGGCGTTATTCCCAGAGCAGCCCCCAGGGGAGGTGCAGGCCCACTGGAGAGCCCTACAGTCTCCATCGATCCCAGGGACCGGCTGAGCTGTACCCCAGAGCCCCCTGCCCAGGAGGGTCCCATGGGCAGGCTCTGAGGTGACACTTGTGACACTTGGGCCAGGACAAAGTGACCCATGAGTTTGAGTGTTCAGCTCAAGAGTCCCACCAGGAGCCAGATTTGCGGGGCGTGTTGTTTCCCACTGCCTAAAAAGCAAGGCATTTTTCAGAAGCCGCCTGTTTGGCAGCAGCAGTCCCTAATCCATTTGGAGCACTGATTCCCCCCCTCTGCTCCTGTCTTTGGGCCACCTTAGGCCAGGCCTGGAGAGCGGCCACTTTCAGCAGGCAACATGATGTGAGCCTTGGCCGCTTTGCCAGAGGAGCAGAGACCTCACTGTTCCCTCACCACCAGGGTCTGAGCAAGGCTGGACACAGAAAAGGAAATTTGGGTGGGTGCTGCTCAAACTGGCCCCCCTCAGTGGTAAACTGAGGCCAGGGGTGGCACTGAGAGACGTCGGCTCACCTGGCATATTGGGGTTGGGGCAGGTTTCCCTCAGGTAGAAAATCAGCCCGTCCGGTTTGAGTTTTAGGTACTCCACCAACTGGGAAAGGAATTGGAGGAAAAAGAAATTATTGCAAGGAGAAAATTATCCCTTTCTTTTTTTTTTTTGCAAGCAACTTATAGAATCACAGAATCGTTTAGGTTGGAAAAAAACCTCTAAGCTCCCCCAGCCCAACCGTTCCCCTACCCCTGCCATCCCACCCCCAAACCCTGTCCCTAAGCACCGCCTCTGCCCGGCTTTTAAATTGTGGGGCTTATGGTAATGATTTCTCTCGGATTTATGGCAGACAGGGACTCGGCTGTTTCTTTCTCTCCTCTCCTATCCGTGCACTCAGGGATCTCCTGGAGCAAGCACTCGTATGCCTGGAGATCTGCCAGGGCTGGGAAGAACTTGGGAAGTTTGATAAGGACCACAGAAAGACAAAAGGAGCGTCTCCCGGAGGAGGGGCAGGGAGGGCATTTTCAGCGTCATGTTGTTGTTGGCCCAGCCAGAAAGGTTTTTATGCTGTGTCTGATAAAGCCTGAGAGAAACCTTTAGCTTTCCCAGAGGAATTCCAGGGTTAGCTCTGTGGATCCCGGGTGGTTTTTCACTGCAGCAACCACTGGCTCAAGCACACTGGGGACTTGACTCTGGCTGGAGACAACCGAACCAGCCCCTGGCCACCGGACTGCAGGGGGGATGAGGCTTTCTCTTCCCCTCCTGCCTGGCTCAGATTTCATCTGCAATTGGGAGCCTGGCACGGTTCTGTTTCCATAAAAATGCCCCAAAGTCTTTGTTTTCAATCAAATTCAGAGTGAAAACAGTGCTGGGAATTTCAAAAATTCAGCAAAACAGAGCTAGCATCCCGCAGACAGCCCTGCCCAGGGGGAAGCGCTGGTACCCATCCCCTGGAGCCATCCTGAGCTGCATGCCCCAGGGCAGAGCCGGGCTCCAGATCCCCCCAGCAGCGGCAGGAGCTGCTGGGCCATGTGTCACATTCCCTAAAAACCCTGCCCCATCCTCATGAGGACTGCTGGGGCATTACAGCCATCGCCACTTCCCAAAGCCCCTTCCCAAATCACTCTGGGGGTGATAGGACGTGTCTCCTGGCACTCAGATCTTCTGCCATATAAAGTTTTGGCAGCTGGCTCAAGACTTCTGGGCTCCCCTACTCTTTGCACAGACGACAGACACTTGGAAAATAAAGTGGCAATGTGCACGCGACAGTTTTGCTGGTCCAGGCGCGGCGCGGGGGACGTGCGGGAGGGACAGCCGGGGATGACGATCTCATCCGGGCTCGCTGGGGGTCCAAGGTGCACGCTGTGGCGGAACGTGTGATGTTTGCCGACGGGGTGCCAGTGTAACTATCTCAAGTACCCGGGCTTAAAGCTAGAAATCAAAAGCACTAATCCTCTTGTTTCCTCGGAGGGGCACCACACCGGCGTAAGGCACGACGGCAGTGGCAAAGCCAGCACTATTTCAGAGCTGCTGCGATATCCCAGACTTAGATCCACTTAACGAGGAGTACACGGAAAGGAATGCAAGGAGGTGAGCTGATAAATAGCCAGACCCAGGGAACGCAAGGGTTTTCTGGAAGGGGCTACAACCACCCGTGTATAGTTCTAAAGCCTTTAAAGCTCCCCATGGCCTTTCCTGTCCCTCAAGGCATGGGCAGCCGTAACGAGGGAAAAGTGCCTTCGCGTTATTGGGACACCGGTTGTCAGCACCCCACAGTCTGGTACCTGCCAGAGCGTGTCGAACTTGGTCCCCTCTGGGATGGAGTACTTGCCAGACTTGTCCTGGTCTATCCGATAGTGGTACACTGTTTTGCCATAGACGAGGGAGAGGGCGTAGGCGCCGTTCTCCTTCCTTTCTCTCAGCCTGGTAGGAAGGAGAAATTTTAAAAGCAACTCTTGGGTTTGCCCTGCAAATTATCGGGGCTGCGGTGGTGGTGGTAGGTCGCTGGGTGGGCCCTTGATAAGGTGTCCCTGCACCCCACTGGTGGAATTGCCACCTTCCTGACACCCCTCTGTGGGGTGGAAGGACTCTTCACCTTCAGTGTCTTGCCCCTCTCCTCCGCCCTCTGCAGCTAATTCTTTCTTTCCCAAATTCATTCAATTAAATGAAGGGCTGTCTCACCTCGGCAGAGACGCAGGGCAAATGCTTTCCCCTGTATTTTATTGGCCATACATTGCCCACGTGTCCGTGTTAAATGTCTGCCCCCACTGAACCCTATGTATCATACCATACCATACCATGCCATACCATACCATACCATGCCATACCATGCCATGCCATACCATGCCATGCCATACCGTGCCATATCATACCATACCATACCACGCCATACCATGCCATACCATGCCGTACCATGCCGTACCATACCATACCGTGCCATACCATGCCATACCATGCCGTACCATGCCGTACCATGCCATACCATGCCGAGTCATCCCATACAAT